CACGTCTGTGATAAATGTCACATTGGTTTTACAAAAATTTTGAGCTACAATTTAGTTTCCTTTTTTATAGAATGAATCACTATTTTCGGTAGGGTTCTGTATATTCCATAAAAAGGACCTTTCTGTATATAATATTTTCCTTTATTTCCTCTGAATATTTCCTTTTTGTTTGTTAAGTAATCTCAATAGATAATATGAGCCAACTCAAGCATTAAATTGAACTCACCTCAAGCTTGGACTGACTTGAAATTTAATATTATTTTGGAAATAATTATATATAATAAAAATACCTTTATTATAATGAATTGCATAATATACTTGAATTTAGAATATTTAATTGACGATCTGTCCATGAATGAATGAATGAACTCTAAATAGGGATCAGCAAAAGAAAAATGTCACAAATTTTATTAATTGATGGCTTTGCACAAAAAAATGAAATGGTACTATACTTTAGTACTGTTGTATGTGAAATTGAAATTGAAATTGAAATTATAATTAAATTTTTGGGGTGGGGTGTTTGGATATGGAATTCTGATTGGCTAATTTGAATTTCACATATGTGAATTGAAAATTCACACAGATTTCATTTTCACATACAACAGTACTATATAATAATAGTTTGCATTAGGGAGCAAATGTCAAAGAACATATCTACACATTTTTTTTTTTTAAAAAAAAAGGGTTTATGATTAATTTTAGTATTCAATTATATCAAATGATTGAACTTTTATTCAAATAAAACTATTTCGAAACTCAGAAACTGTTTTTAATATTAAACTCCAAAACTATTTTAAAACTTCGAAATCATTTCAAAACTTCAAAATCTTAAAACAAAATGATGCCATAAATGCTTCATGTGAGAAAAATGAAACCAAAAATAAATATTTTATTTTAAGTGGTGGGGATGTGGAGCAGATCATTCAATAATAATACTGCAAGTTATACTATACTGTTATTATATAGTAGTACAATGGTGTTAAATTCTGACCAATTTGCTAAATTTAAATATTGGGCAGTATTTTTAAATTGTAAATTTATATGGAAAAATTTTGATTATTGGATAAGAATGGCTGCAAATAGTATTTATGTACAATTAAAAATACAAATAAACAAACATATAACAATAAAGAAATGTACATTCACCATTTCTTTTTTATAAAATTAGCACAATTAAAAATAATTTACAGAACAAATGAATATAAATAAATAAATTATTATATATATGTAATTTTAGATAAGGTTTTCTATATTATTAATATAAAATCTTTCTCAGTATAACCTAGATTTTTTAGTGTTTGCTTAACAACATTTATCATACCAGGTTGTCCACAAACAATGATTTTGCTGTTAGAGTCAATTTTAGCATCACTATACACTTCATTGATTTCACTATCACTCTTTTTACTATTAAGATTAATATTATTATTTACAGATGATGGAACTAGTCTTGAATCAATTAATGAATCAATATTGATATTATTCACATCATTTTTAAATGTATGTAGCTGTTGTGGTGGTGGTGAAACTGTTGTATATTGTTGGAATGGTCGATGTCGTTGTGGTAGTGATGATGATAATGGTGTTCTATAATGTTGACCATGATTATGACTTGAAGCATTTTCAAGATTAATTGATTTTTTACAAGTATTTTGATTATTGTTATTCATTGTAATTGGTGGTGTTGTTTTATGAGGTTTTGTATAATATGGTATTGTTGGTGGCAGATTATCATTATTATTTGATGAACCACCATATGATAAAGGATTATAAGGTTGTTTTGTATTAATTGGTGAATTTGCATTAATATCATTATTGTTGTTATTGTCATTTCCACTGCCACTGTTATTGTTATTATTATTAGTTTCATCAGTGGTAATGTTGCTTTTATTATCATTGACAACAAATTTATTTAACCAATCTGAAACCATTCCTTGATCAATTTCACCATTTTCCCCTGTCCAAGCTAGAGATGGTTTATTTAGTGCATATGTTATAGTTAGCATACCTGCACTATTTAATTGATAATCTTCTAATTCTACACCATTAATTATGTCCTCTATTCTATGGTTACCATATAACAAATGCATTGATACTCGTTTATTAGGTATTGTTGGTGCATGACTACGTCTCATACATAATTCCAAATGGTATGTTATCAGCTATTTCATTACAATAATGGTAAGATAAATAAGTGTGAATAATAATAAATACATTATTGTTTTACAATAAAAATCTTACTTGTAACATTGGTGCAATTCCAGTACCACCACAAATCATATATAATTTTTTCCAATGACCATCCTGAGTCTTAGGATTAAGTAAAGAACTTGTTGATGAAGATATGAATGATGGGATATTTTTTGCAAGTAAACTTGATTTTCTATATTGTGATGTTGCATCAACAGATAATGGTGTTTGCAAAACTTCTCTATCTCCAACATCAAATGGTCCTCTCACTTGAATCTCGTAACCTTTTAATTGTTCATTCTGAATCATGATTAGTTATTAATTAATTAAATAACTAATAGATTTTAATAATAATAAATATAGCATCATATAATTACTAATTATTTCAAATCTTACCAAATGTCGTGACATTAATCCATCTGGATACACTTTAACAAAAATACTAAAACTTTGAACAATATTGCCTTCTATTGGTGTATAACTTCTAATTACCACTTGCCCTTTAATTCTTGATTGCACTTCAATATAATGTCCTGGCAAGAATTTCAATTTATGATTATAAGCTTCATTTTCATTTTGATGCACTATTGTAAATGTGAATTTCATCACTGGATATTCTTTACTGCCATTGATAGGTACTTTGCTTGTCAGTTTGTATCTGCGGAACTTTATTCTAAACATTGTATCTTGTCTAGCAATTCCTGAATCTGCTTCACTATCAATATCAATATTATTTACATCCATTGGTGGTATTGTTGGTACAGGTAATATTGATGATTCAACATCTGGGCTTTCTTTTAATTTTGCCTCAACCATTGTTGCCATTTTCTTAATTGCAAATAAATTATGTGGATGTATAGCCAAAGGTGCCTTTAAGAAATATTTACGATTCATATCATCAACAACTTGTGCAACTGAATTTCTTTCAGTTGTATATTTTTTGGTTCTCTCATGTAAAATATCTGTATATTGTGCTAAAACTGATGTTGATATACCAGTGGGAACAGGTTTTATTGATTTTATTGCTGGTAAATTAATTTGCTCAATAATCTCTTTACCTTTATAACCAAAAAAATCATTTGTTATATCTGTTCCTATGACATGTTCAAGAATTTTTGCTCCACCAGGATGTACCTTAATCCATTTTCTCACATTAACAATAAATCCATCACAAACTACTAAATATGCTCCACGTTGAACATGTTCATTAATTTCACACCATGTAAGTTCTGTTAATTTAGCTAAATCTTTTTTGTTAATATATGATGAAAGATCGTATTCTTTTTTGTTTCCTTTTTCAAAATTCAACAAGGTATCTATCCATTTCAAATTTCCTCTCCAATTCCACCAATACTCACTAAATATAAATGCTATAAATACTACACCAATCCATGTAAGATATACAATCTTATAATATAATGATTCTGATCCATAAGATAAACAATATGCATCAATTCCCATATATACATTTACCCATGCAGATATTAATAAAGAAAATCCAAAAAATCTGTGAATTCTTTTAACAAATCTAGGATACCCATGATTAACTGACACTATTGACACTTGACCCCAAATTGATATTAGACCTAATCCAAGTTCAATAAATAACAAAATATATATTGACATTCCCAGCCATGAATGACTTGTTTTTGTGCTGATTGTTGCCATAGCTGCTGAACCAAAACTACCGATACTAATACCACCAACCAATTGTGCAAGTCGATGTGTTTTGATGTAACTATTTGTATGTTTGTAATATCTTACAATATAAATAGAAGCAGGAAATAGAACACTGTTATGGAATGGATGTGGGAATGGTGATTAATAATTTCTTCATGATATAAGATATTCAGTACATATTTAATATCAATATCCTACCTCCAAGTTAAGAACATTCCAATCCCATGAGCTAATTTTGCTAGTCTTTGACCATAAGATACAGATGGTGAAAGTTGATTATTGTAAAAATCAAACCATGTCATTTGACGATTATTTTGATGATATGAAAATACTGAACTTGCAGGGTTATAGGCCAAAATATCTAAAAACAAATAATTATTATTGTTATCATTATTGTTAGAAGAAGGAGAAAAGAAGAATAAAAGTAACTAGCTTATAATATTTTTGCAAAATTATCAATCACATTTCATAGGTCCATATTTAATCCCTTTTCTTCCATAAGGTATTAAAGGTCTTGTGAATTCAATAATTGCAAAATTATCTTTATCAGGAGGTGTATAATTAATTATTTGTAAATCTGAATCGTCACCATCAGGTATAGGAGGGTTGTAACCAGTTATAGCTGATCGATAATTTGATAAAGATGATATATTTCCATTAGAAATCTAAAAAAACAAAAATTTTTAATGTGATATTTTTTAATTTTTACAAGATTATAATTATTTTTTAAAAAATAACTTACAATTCCAATTACAAAATCTGCTCCACTCATTCCATTATTATCAGGATCAAACCCCTATTTGTTATTTAAATAAATAAATTTTATCACTCTCATCATCATGATCTTGACATTATCAACTAAATAACTAACTCACCATTCCAAACCATGCATTACCATTTGTGGTTAGTATTTGAACTTGGAAGTTAATGTAATTTCCAGCAATCTCATAACCAACAACATATGCTGCTGGCCATAAGGAAATATGATTAAAGTATTTTGATGACTTGGACAATTTCTGTGTTGGTTGAACTGACCAAATACTTTGTGGGATTGCTGTTTGAAAAATACCATCTAAATTACGTATAATAATATCTCTAAATGTTGTTTGATTTCTAAGTCTGATGGCTCTGTCTTCATCAGTAAACAAGTTGTTCTCTTTGTTCTCCCACCAAAATCTATCTGAATTCCTAATATTCATAAACTATAAAAAATAAATAAATAGAAGTAAAAGCAAACAATGAAAATATTAGATAAAATGATAATAATAATAGCAATTATTTAAATTATAAATAAATGTTACCTGAGTGACCATACTAGTGTACATTAGTTCACCAAAGTTTGATCCATCTAAATGATCTTCAGACATTGCTCCAACCAAAGCTTCTAGTTGATTAGGACCATTGGGATACAATTGTTGTAGATGATCTTGTATTTCTTTAACTGAAGTTATATTTTCCCATGAATCTTTTTTTTTTAAACCATATGCCTGACGAACATCATTATATAATGCAATTCCTATAATAAAATATTTTCAAAAAAAATTTATATGCATATTAACATTACATTAACTCATATATATATATATAAACACACACACACACACACACACAAAAAAAAAAAAAACTTATACCTCTATCTCTAGCTCTTAAAGCATCAAATGCTACAATATCATAAATGTTTGGTTCAGGTGATTTAACATTTCTTGTTGCATCAGAATAATATATATCAACATCTTCTTGACGTTGCAAAGATATTGATCTCAATAAACTTGCTACACCAAAATTTTCCAGAAAACCCAGTTTCATAATATTTTCTAATGATAATTCCACAACTGCATCACCATATTCATCTTGAATTTGAAAAAAATCACTCAGCTCACTATGACCATATCTGAACGTTATTGTTGCAAAAAAAACATCAATTCCTGGAGTTAGATTTGGATCATATTTTTGATATGGTGGCAGTGGTTTACCCAGTACAACTCCAAGATATTCTTCTGTAACAACTCTTTGGTAAAATGCAATATTCCATTTCCTCTAATTAATTAAAAAAAATTTTTAAAAATTTATTATTATTATATTACTATCATTATTAAATATAAAAACCTACAGCCTCTTCAAAATATTGATCATCAGTCCATGCATCACCATTTTTTTCATAAAGTTCATCACATAATCTATTATGTTCACGCAACCAAATAGTGTGAATAGCCATTGTAAAAATATTATTTGATCGTGCAGAACTAGCACCAACAATATAATTTCCTGTTGTTGGATCCTTAAATGGGTAAGGGTCATTTATATTTCCACTAGTCTTTAATTTTCCTTTATTACCCTCACGAAGATTTTTTGCATTTTCAGTAGTAATACCATAAATAGAACTCAAGTCTAGAAAAGGAGTTGCATTATTGTAACCAGTACGCTTTGGTGTTTGTGTAGTAGTAGGAAGAAAATCTGATCGATTAAAAGGAATTGACTTCAAATTACTCAATTGACCTGGTAATGATGTTACTGAATTATATGAATTATAAGTTGCATCATCAGATGGTATATGCAATTTATGACTTGGTTGTGCATGGTTTTGAGAACTGCTAATATCATAACTAACAAATTGAGCAAAAAAAGTAGTCTAGAAAGAAAAAAATTAATTAATTCAAAAATCAATTTGAGAAAATAAATACAATTGTTAAAAAAAAATTTTTACCAAATGACTAGTTAGTCTTTTAGATCGATAGCTCATTGCCCTTCCAACATCAAACTGATTTAAACGATAATTAGATATAATATTAGAGATGCATCTTGGCATTGGATAAGTATTAGCTGGTAATGGATCAGTACACTTGGGTACTGGTTGTGTCGGATCAGTGTCAACAATATCAGAAGGTGTTTTTATCATTGAATCTCCATCTGGGCTAATATTGTTCATAAAAAAAAATAATCAATTCATTATTTATTTATTTAGTAAATGATTTAAATAACAGTACTAAAATGATCCAATTACCCAAAAAAAGGTTCAGGTGGATATTTCATTTGAAAATTTTGTTTTGGAGTACCAGAAGTTGGATTATTTAAATTATTATCACTACCATCTGTAAGTCGAGACTCTACTTTACATGGTAACAGTAAAAATATTATGAATAATAATAATATTAGCAGAAGATGAAATTGAATTGATAAATTTCCCCTTCCTCTTCGATGATTGTAAAACATTTCCATTTTTTATTCTTTTTTGATAATTTGTCTCAAAAGAATTGATTTTATATATGATAAATAATGACATTATAATAATAGATTAAAAAAAAGATGAAAAATAACAATGTTTATTTCCAAAAATATCATCGACTATGAGTTTATATGCGAAATTTTGTCGTATTGAAAAAATGCAACGAGTACACAAAACTTAAAAAAGTAGGTTATTTTCATAATTGATTTCATTCATTATATGATTATAACTATATCGAGCTGTACATAATAGTGATAAAAATTTTCAGCCAATCCAAGGATCTATACAATGACTAACCTTATTATTGAGACGTTGACCCTAAGGAACCGGTAAAACCATAGCCTAATTTGCTAATTAAAATTGGGTTTACACTTAATTTTTTTTTCTGAGTTTAGTTGTGTTATGTGTCGTGAAAAATAAAGCAATTGAATTTGGTAATGTATTGCGAAAAATAAACTAGTGCTGCGAAAATGAAGTAATCGAATTTGGTAATGTATTGCGGAAAATAACTAATTATTATTATTTACTGAGTTTCATAGAACTATTTGCGGACCAAATTAAAAATGTGTCGACTTTTAAAATCTTTACATCATCTGAATATTTTTAAATCCGTAATGCTACACGACATTAACTTGCATATTTAATTAATATGTAAATTTATTATTATTGGAATGAATACTTGAGTAAAATAAAAATATTGACGCGTTAATGACGATTTTTTAGGGAAGGATCTGCAGGTGTCATAATTTCCGCCAAAATTTAAGCGCCCAAATTCCTCGCGAACAAGTAAAATACATGTACATATGTAAACTCGATAAGTCGGTCATGTGGGTGTGAGCTCGTATGACCGACTTATCGAATTAAATTACTTAAATATTAAGAAAATGGGGCAAAAATTTTGGCCGACTTATCGAGTAAGCCGACTTATCAAGTGACCGACTTATTGAGTTTACACATGTACGTACTAAAAAGGAACAGAACTCAACAACCCACCAATATTTTGAAAAAAACTCTCTGTCACATTAAAGCTTGGGTCCTAATCTATGTCATAACAGAGCTATTTTTTTAAAATGATATACAGAAATGAACTTCTGTTCTTTTAAAAATCACATACAGCACCATAGGAAATTGGGGGGTGTCATACAATAGATCAACAAATCTAATTAATATCATTATGATAAATTAATATGTACGGTTTTTTTTAATTGATGTTACACGGAATACTGAAAGGTAAAATTTACCATTTTTAAAAATTTTCCAAAAGACTTGTCACAATATAACAAATATTGATGGTAATTTTTCATCAATGGTGTTTGTTACCTTCAAAAATCTCTCTGTACTGATAAACTAGATATATTGTACTATTCCATACTCAAAGTTGGAAATAATGTATCTCTTTTTCACTGAATAGTAGCATTTTGAAAAATGTGTATTTATTATATCTGTTACACTATTAGCAATTTTTGATTGTGACTTTTTCATTAATGGTGTTTGTTACCTTCAAAAATCTCTCTGTACCAATAAACCAGATATATTATACTATTCCATACTCAAAGTTGGAAATGATATCTCTCTTTTTCACTGACTAGTAGCATTTTGAAAATGCAATTTTATTTATTATTTTCTTTGTGTTGTTGATCATTAAAAAAAAAGAACTTATTGATCAACACTATATGAGATTGCTTAATTTTGATTTAGTTAGACTGTAACACCCCCCAATATTTTACCCAAAAATTTCACAGTAAATTTAACTTTAAGGGTAGGAGGAATCACGTGTCAATTTATATGTAGATCGGCGGCTCAAAAATTTGAATTATATAGTTGGCTCAGTCTAAAGACCTCCTAAATTTTGGGAAAATTTTAAAAGTATAGAAGCCATTTTCTGTCCTACCTTTTAAAAAAATAGCCTCATTAGTTGGTAAAATAGGTTTCTACTTTTAATGTAATGAAGAG